CTCATTCCCATTTTCTCAACAATCTTTGTCTTCAGAGTGGATAAATGCAGTGTCACTCTGGGTTCGCTTGGCAATCTTAAAATTGTCACAAGAATGAATTGGGTGCCGTTTTCTCTTCTTGTTACAATCTTTGTCATGAGCTCTCACAGACCTTTTAATGCTTGATATGCTCTCATTCTCATTACATATTCTCATTCCCATAACAAAGATTATAATGAAAGAAGAAAATGTCATAAAATTAATCCATTCTCATAACAGTCTGTAACGAGGGCAGAAAATTGAGCAAAATTAATCCGTTCTCATAACAATCTGAAGATTGTAATGAGAACAGAAAATGGCATGAAATTTATCCTTCTTTTGACAATCTTTAAATTGTACCAGGGCAGGAATGGGGTACAAGATTAACAAGCCCTTGGGACAAAGGCTCTAACTAGAACTGAAAATCATACAAAATTAATTTGGGTATGTGTGTGTGTGTGTGTGTGTGTGTGTGTGTGTGTTTGAGAAAGGCCTAAAAGCCTGAAATTGTAATGTTTGGTGCCATTGGGATACCATATTAAGATCAGTACCTATTTTAATTTGCCTTAAAATACTAGAACCTGACACCTTTGCTAAGATAGTGAATTAAAACAAATATGGATGTTCACTCTTCAAGTAGACCCGGAGGGCAAAACTGTTTTAGTAAGTAGGATAGTAAAGAAAGTGGAATTTGTTATTGAATTCATGAGTTTATGAATAACCCATTTGTTATCCAATAACTTTAATTTAAACATCTTCTTTTAAAATGAATAACACAGTAGATGTAGTCTAATGTTGAGCAACAGTTGTATGACCTCGGATTTTAATTCATTTGTATGCACAACTGGCCCATGTGCTTCTATGTATGCAGGCTACAGTGGCTCATTTCCACTAGCATACATCTGTGGTCAAATAGCCAGATTTTTGGTTTTACACTAACATTTTTTATAGTTTATCTATTGTATAATTTCTTCACTTAGTCACTTAATGAATTGAATTTATGATTGCCTTTCAGAACGTTTTTGTTTTAAATATCCTCAATTTCTGAAAGGAAACTAAGGTCAAACAATACTTGCATAGACTGCAAATCTATTCAAGCAGAACATGAACAGCTTTTTATTTGCCTTTATAATTGAAGTATAAACAATGTAATGAATTAATTTGCTAATTATTCTTACTTATGAGGGCACACATATTTGTGTGTAGAATGGATTTTAAAAATACTTATTTAGCACCGATGTTAAAACATCCATTATAAATGGATTTATGAATATATTCACACTTTACAAAAATTATAAACTTTTTTTCCATAAGTACAGGACCTATTACAAACAAGCAATAATTTCAATTGCTTAAACAAGAGCCTATCATTTTAAAGGTATGTATTAGGAACTAATAATGAATGGCAATAATATTAAATACTTCATAAGTTTTATTTTTATAGCATCAAAATGAAAAATCTCATTTATATATTGTTTTCCCTCTTTTAAAACTGTACCTCCAGTAACATTTGAGAAAATTGCAAGTATATCAATGAAATTGCAATAAATTATTGGGATGCAAACCTATTTTGTGGTATTTTCCTGATACTTTAAAAGGAAATATCTACTTGAAAACCCTCATACTTATGTATAATGGTATCACTGCTTGAAAATGCATTATTGAACATCACTTGTCTTAAGCATCAAAGGTAGTATTCCAATAAATTGGAGGTATGATTAGCACGTTTAAAAAATATCCTTTTTTAAGTTGCACTATTAGGTTTTTCATATGCAGAGCCTAGCTATGAATGATTTGCTAAACTCTTTCTTCTGTTTCTTTTGTTGACAAGAAAATATATACTACTGTAACTACAATTAAGAGTGGTTTTTTTGATAAAAATAAAATTAGAGTCTAGGTCAAGTAAGTAAATCTAGACATGGTCATGGTGCCATATTTTGAGAAATTTGCAAGGCCTGGGTTTAAATTGCCACCCATTTTTCTACATCCAGAAGAAAGATAAATATAGTGATTCATAGTACTTGTGAAACCTTCAGAAAGTAAACCTTTTGCTTCATGGAAAAATGAGAAATTTGGGAGGTGGCACTTTTCATCATCAACAAAAGCTATTTTTGCAGACCAAAGAAGAAATGAAAAACTTTTCATTTATTTAGCTGTTCCTGGAAAGGTTGTAAAAGGTCCTATCATGAAAGACGAAAAGGAAGAGCTGTTCACAGAAAGCTTTTAAAGAACAAACATCATAAGCTCAGATTCATATGGTAGGTGGAATATTGTAGGAAGGTGCAGGGGGCAAAAGCACCAGGATGTGATCCCAGAAAGAGGAGCCTCTTCTCTGTACTTTTTCCATTGTTCCCACCTTTTATATACTTAGCTATAGGTATGTTCCAATTTAATGTACTATTCTGTGTGGAAATCCAGGTTTCAAAAAAATGTGAGTGGAAGTTCTCTTTTAAATTAGTTTTATTAAATAGTACACCATGGGGCAGCTTTACAGAGTATACTCATATAATTCCAATGCAATATGTGCCATTATCAAAATGTGTTCATCATTCATGGTAGGCTTTTTCAAATTGTACTGGTATGCTACACCAAAGTCTTTGTATCTGAATATATTGATACATACTACCAATAACAATATACCTCATTGTTATTGTTTTATGAAGTAAATATAGCCATTTCTAACATGGGCAAAATTAAATATTTTCATTATATTATAGCATAATCATTAAAAAAACTTTCATGTGAAATATATGGAGAATGTTTTGTGTTTTTACCAATCATATGAGAATTCCTTTGCAGTGGGAGAAACTCCAAGAGACTGTGGTAACCATAGTGGCAGGTGAAATGGAGCCTTGGAGAAGAAAAAAGGGAGTTGTTAATACAGGGAGGAGTGGAAGGCAGAGCACTGTGCAAGGAAAGGATGGGCAGAGAATAGAAAAGCTCCCGGTGACAGTGGTGATAAAGGATTTGTGAGCCTAATTAAAGTGTTTGTTCTGTATATACGATGAAAATATTTTCCTCTAGGCATCTACAAAATAGTAAATAATTTATATATTGCTCTCTAATTCACCTGTATAAACAGAATTTTGCTTTGGAAGCTTGAAGAACTGGATAAACTAATACTGATGATACTGAGTTATACATGTGAGGAATGGAGCAAGATAATTCATATCTTATATTTAGCTAGTGGATAGAGATTTTACCAAAATAGAGACAATTAGACTTGGGATGTGGCTGTTTCTTTAGTAATGGTTGTCTCTCCAAACTTTGTCAGTCTGGGAGTATAGATATGATCCAAGATAATGAATAGATTATTTACTAGGTGGTATTGAGAACTTCCCATCCAATTTCTCAGAGACCCCTTATCATTGAAGTTACTCCAGCTCCTACATTTCCTAAGCATAGCAAACCATTGCTCCATCCCAAGAAGACCTTGCCAGGTGGGTCAGTATCCACCCACCATTGCAAATGGAAGGGGTCATCATCTCCAGCCCTAGATAATGCTTGTGTACCACTGGTGTTAACTCTTTACTGTGGAAACTGTGTTCCCCAGAAAACACAGTCACTTTTCTCTAGTATCCAACTATGGATGAGCCTGTCCATCTGCCTATCATTTTACTTTTGATGATGATTCTGAAATGTCTGTAATCATCTTCATGTTTCTCAAGGACCTAATCTGCTAAAGCCTAGCCTCTAAGGCAGAAAATTGCATTCTGATTCTTATGCTATTTCGGCATTTCTTTTTTTCCCCCACACCATTTTGTCTCCCATTTTAGATTACTTGACAGTAGTGCCAGAGGTTCCCATTGAGTTCCTTTAGTTTATCCTGTTCTGTACCAAAATTTTATTTTTATTTTTATTTTTTTCCTATTCACCAACACTTCTCTTGAATTATATTTAGATTTTATGCTCCCCTGTTAACTCTCAAACTGAGATCTATAAACTTTATAATTTATGTGTTAAATCCCTAGATTTGAATTAAATACTGTGAATCAAAACCCATTGAAAAGGTATAATTGTACATGCCCTCCCACCAAATAAAATTCAATATAATATATTCATCCAGTAAAGTGATCACAGTTTGTTTTGTTTTGTTTTGTTTTGTTTGTTTTGTTTTGTTTTTTAGCAACACTAAAATCATGAAGTGGTTCTGCACTGTGTCTAGTAGTAGTATAGGTAATTTCCTTTGGTTTCACTGATCATGTGCAGCATGGCAGTGAAAATTCATTTTAATAAGAATGAGACAGGTGACATATTGAGTCTAGCAAGCAACATGAATGGAGAGAAAATGCTTTGTTTAGACATAGAAGAAAAATACCACTTTATATGTAGGCATTTATTTAGCCTTTATTTTAGACTTTTTAACAATTGTATCCTGTCACTTCTGACAGCTGTTTCTTACAAGAAAAGCCTGTCTTAGAAACTAGTCCTGAGTCCTAATAGCTCTGTGACTTTGTATAATACTTTATAAAAGATAAGAAAATAAGCATGGGAACTACAACTGAAATTAGGAATGAGAAAGTCTCAGTTGGATGGTGGTGGGTCACACTTTAAAAAAAATAAAGAGAGGGATCATTTTTTATTTGAGCCTCAACATGTTTTCATGTTATAAAGCCAAAAGTGTAACAAAAAAATTTTTTCTCAGTAGTAGAATATAAGTTGATTTTGGTGGTAGGTAGTTTTAAGGTAATTGCACTGAGTGACATTCTTAAGTATATTTCTACTAATAACCAATAAAATTTATATTCCTTAGAGAACTATCTTGACCATTATGACAAAATATTTTTCCAGAACTTTGTTTTAAAATCTGTTAATCAACAAGGTAATAGAATACTTATTTATTAACAAAACAAGTATGTGTGTGCATATAAAGGAAATGTTCACACAATAATACACTTCATTTATTTGCTTTTTTTAAATAGCTTTGAGATAATAAAAAGAATTATTTTTTCTATTCGATAATTTCCTCTCTGTTCTTCTAGGTACAGTGGAAGTCCAGGTTATTTCAGAGTCAACTTCACCAGTGAATGAAAGAGAAAGAACAAAGGAGAGAGGGAAACAGTGAGTATAATGTTGAACCTTGTAATAACTTGCACCTAGGAAGTATAAATATAATGAGATTTTGCCTAGACATAATGATCTGCTATAAGTGGGGGGCTTAGATTTTGCACATTAGACATAAAAGAATTAAAATATTTAGATGAGCATAAATTACTTAAAGTGGTAATTTATTGTTTTCTATCTTGATTTGTACAATTTGGGAATTATACAAAGAGAAGAAGATGAAACCATGACTAATGTTGACAGCTGGTCTCATTTATTTTTGATGCAGACCCAAAAGGCTTGCAAAGTTTCATATTTCTAAAGCTGTATTTAGTATGTTTCCTTCTGGGTAGTTCAGGTCTCCTCTTCCTCCAAAAATAGTCTTTGTATAGCAGAGGAACTATTGTTGGATCTCCTCCTATTTCTATACAAGCCTCTTACCCCAGCTGCCACTGCTGTCGTCCTTACAGAAAAGTGTAAGGCCACAATGAAGACAGTATCCAGAATTTAGTTAACATGTGGAGGCAACATCCCTCTGTTTTATTTCTGAAGAAACCTAGACATTTTATTGAAACACTATGTAAGTTATGCTTTAAGAATTTTCATAAAGTTTAAATGTTTTTAAAACAATGCTAGTATTGGTATCAATGTATCAAATGTGAAACTGATAATGAATCACAAAAAGTATTACACTTAATATTTAGGGAGAAGAATCTTGGGTTGCACTTCAGTTTTACTTTCTACTATAGTATTTCTTTAGTTTTAAGCCTGTTCATCATTTTTAAAGAAAACAGATCTTCACTAATAAACTAATGTTTTAGTGTTTAACTCTTGTAAAACTGAGAATCAATGAAAATCTTAGGGAAATAATTTTATTTATGATTGCCTAAATTATTGCTTAGCTTAATCATGTGAACTAGTTAATTTATACTGATTATAAGCAAAGGAATATTGTAATGATAAATTGGAATATATCTTATTCATTATTTTACTTCCATGGTATAATCAAGAAAACATCTTTAAGAGGGAATTTTTATTTTAGCTTTTCCTTGTAGAGCCTTCTCTATAGCTTTAGGTGCTCATATTTAACCTTCATGTTGTAGTTGGCCTCAACAGATTTTCCTATTAAAAATAGTTCATTTAAAAATAATGCAAATAGTATATGTAAATATATTTTAAAATTAAATAATATATGCATATATAGAGTAAAAATTGTGTTGGTGAGAGATTCCATTGAAATTTTATTCAATCATGTACATCATACATATGTACATACATATGGTATCATATTATGCTGTTTTTTAAAATTTTCATTTAATATGTCATGTGGACAAAAGATTGAATATGATAATAATATGTGGAAAATTTGTTTGAGGTTTTGTTTTGTTTTGTTTTTTTTAAGTGGGTTGCTGTTCCGGTTACTATTGCTGTGTAAAAATTGTCTCCAAAACTTAAACGCTTAAAGCAATAATAATTGTTACTTCTCAGTTTCTTTGGGTTAGGAATTTGGGAATGTACTACCAGCGTATTCTGGATTCAGGTCTCTTTTGAAATTTTAGTTAGATGGTGGATGGAGCTGGAATAGCTGGTGATTGGAGAAGCCAGGGGCTTGGCTAGACATCTCTTTTTTATTTAGTTTCTGGGATGTGATCTCTCTGTCCTGGACCATCCTGTGAGTCCTCTCAGCATGGTGGCGTGAAGACAGACTGCCTACATGACAGCTCAGAGCTCCACTGTTAGTGCTTACATGATCAAGTCAGAAGCTGAATCGCCTCTTATGATCTAGCTTTGGAAGTCATACAACATCATTTCCATCCTATTCTTTCTGATGATACAGTCACAGATATAATTATTCTGTCTGTGGGTAGGATGATCATCAATCCTGTTTTGCTTTGAGACAGTCCTGGTGTTAGGTTAAAATCCCACCTCCTGGGAACCCCTAGGGCAGTTAGTCATCCTACTCTTAGTTAACAGAAAACTATTTAAGTTTAATAAATTCCTTTAGTAAATTTCAGCAGGGTTTTATTTTATGGTTATTGATTTTAGGGTTCTGTATAGCCAACCTTTACCTCCAGTGTTATATTCTAGAAGAATGATTGTTTTGCTTTAATTTGGCTTTTAATCTATAATTACTTTTTGTGTTGTGGTATAAAGGAGGAGGTAAGGTTTATTTTCTTCCATATAATTTATTTATTTAATTTATTGAAGAGATCATTTTCCTCCAACAAATATATATATAAATAAATATATATATAACATATATATATAAAATGTGATTTTTTTTACATGATTTCCACTGCCATAATTAGTGGAAATGTCTTGATGTCTTGAACTATGATACTAAAAGTCCTTCACCTTTGTGCTCTTATTATTCAGTATCGCTTTGGTTATTCTAGATCCTTTACATTTCCTAGTAGATTTTATAATCTCCTTGTGGATTAAAAAAATGTACCTAGGATTGTGTTGAAACTACATATCAGTTTGGACAAAATGGGCATTATAAATAGACTCAGTCATTTAATCCACTAATGTGGTTTTGATGTACATTGATTTAGTTATTGAGTTTTTCTCAGTACTTCTCTGTATTTTCCAGTTTCAAGGTCTTGCTTATTTTCATTATATAATTTCCAGATATTTGATATTGATATTTTTATAGAGAAGTGTAACTGATTTTTTCATTTCATTTTTTCTTGCTTATGTTTGTATATGTATGTGAATATATGATTTTTTGTATGTACGTATGTTGTATTTATATTTTTCACATTATGTTTGGGAACCTTCCTAAATTTACTTATTATTGTCAATATCTTATATTTAGATTATTTTGTATTCTCTGTGTAAAATTTATGTCATCTAAAGTAAAACTAAGCTAGTTTCTTTCTTTTTTTTAACCATAATTTTTGTGTTTTTTTTTCTAACCTGATTTTGAAAGCTAAAATGTTCAGTAAAATTTGAATAGTAGTGTTACAGTGCATCTAATTTTTATCTAATTTTGGTCTAAATTTTAACAGTGTATCTAATTAATGAGAAAGCAGTCAACATGTTATCTTTCAGTGTAATATTAGAGACAGATATATTTGGTAGATTCTCTTAGTTATAGTTTTAAAAATGTATTTGCTATGCCCAGTTTCATGAGAATAAAATTTTTAACCGTGAAATGGTACTGGATTTTATTTAGCAAATAATATTTCTAGCTCTTTGATTTTGTCCTTTATTCTGTTAACATGGTAAATAAAAAGGAATGGTTTTCCATAAATAAATCCCACTTTATTATCATGTATTAACCATTTGATACATCATCTGGATTAAATTTGCTGTGATTTTAGAATTTTCATGTCAATGTTCATGGGAATATCTTTTTCCTGATTTTTCTTCCTAATGTCCTTGTCAGGTTATGGTATCAGCATTATGCTGGTTATATAAAATGAGATAGAAAGTGTTGCTTATTTTTCTATTCTATGGGAGATTTTTTGGGGACATTTGGTATTATTTCTTCCTTAAATATTTTGAAAAATGCATCAGTGGAACTATCTGACCCAGTTATTTTCTTTTTGACAAGGATTTTACGTATGGATTAAATTTATTTTACAGATATAATATTATTCAGATTTTCTATTTATTTTGTATTAGTACTGGTAAATTGAATTTCTAAGACATTTGCTTAGTTTATTAAAAATTCTCAAAAAAATAAAAAATTAAAATTAAAAAATAAAAATAAAAATTCTAAGCTATTGACATAAAGTTATATGTAATTACCTGTTATTATATTTTTAGTATTTATAGTTGTGATGTCCCTATTTCCATTTTCATTACTGGAATTTGTGTAGTCTCTTTTATTCTGATCTCCTCTGTTAGGTGTTTATCAATTTTATAATTCTTTTTGAATATCTATCAATTGGCTCTACTGATTTTTTTTCTATTGTATGTCTGGTTTTGTTCTTTGATATTTCCTCTTTTAATTTTTTTTTTCTTTCCTCTTTTATACTTTGGCTTTAATTTACTATTCTTTTTCTCACTGATTGAGTTGGAAGCTTAGGTAATTTACTTTTAGTCTTTTCTCAGTAATATGTGCTTTTTAAGCTATAAATTTGGTACATGACACAAGTTTTGATATGTTTTATTTTCATTGTCATTCAGCTCAAAAGATTTCTTAATTTCTTTTTTTTTTTTTAAAGATTTTATTTATTTATTTGAGAGAGAGAGAATGAGAGAGAGCACATGAGAGGGGGGAGGTTCAGAGGGAGAAGCAGACTCCCTGCCGAGCAGGGAGCCCGATGCGGGACTCGATCCAGGGACTCCAGGATCATGACCTGAGCCGAAGGCAGTCGCTTAACCAACTGAGCCACCCAGGCGCCCGATTTCTTAATTTCTATTGTGTCTTTTTTTGGGGGGGGAGGGGTTCCTTAATTTCTAAACCCTGCAAAAAATATAGTAGTTATTCTACTGTGTACTACATTGTACAATTTTTATTTTTAACTACTTAGAGTTTCTTTATGGCTTAAGTTAAGATCTGCTTTTATAAATGTTCTATGTGCACTTTAGAAGAATCTTTTTTTCTACCATATGGGCATAATGTTCTGTAAGTATCAGAGTAAATTATTAAATTATATTGTAAAAATCTTTCTTATCAATATGTTTAATTTGCATCGCCTCTGGTATTGAAAGGTAAATGTTAAAATCTCCAGACAGAATGGTGGCTGGCAGGGCGCCTGGGTGGCTCAGATGGTTAGACGTCTGCCTTCAGCTCGGGTGATGATCCCGGGGTCCTGGGATCGAGCCCCACATCCGGCTCCTGGCTCAGCCGGGAGTCTGCTTCTCCCATTGCTCATGCTCTCTCTCTCTCTGTGTCTCTGTGTCTCAAATGAATAAATAAAATCTTTAAAAAAAAAAAAAGAATGGTGGCTGGCTTTCTCTCTCTCTGAGTTGTTTTCAAACTGTATGTTTTGTTGCGTTCAAAATTGAATTTGTATGTCTTTTTGTCGAATTAAGCCATTTATCAGTATAGAATATTTTCTT